CCCTCCTTCCAAATATCTGTGGATATTAAACAGTGGCTTAGTAACAGAGCACCTGAAGCAAGTGCAAAAGATCCCCATTTAAATTCCTGCAATCCCTCGTTTTAAAGGAGATGGAATTGGCAAGATTAGGAGAGACCTTGCAAGTGGACAGCCAAGGCAGGATTCTGGGCTGAGATCGATGAGCATCTTGACTTGGAAGTTTCATGGGCCCGTTTTCTTAAAAGAGAGTTTTAAGAGTAACATGGGATTCAAGTAAATAGCATAAGTGGAAACAAGACTTAGAAAAGATAACAGAAAGGGCAATTAGTACCCACTGAGAAATTTGGGGAACAGTCCATGTATCAAAGTCCATGTATCAAAGCAGTCTAACCCTTGATAATCATTGTTGAGGGACCAGCAATAAAATATAGGTTCCTAAAGACACACTGACTAGTCAAACTTGGAATTAGATTGGCTGGCTCAGACTAATCCCTGGAGTTATCAAGTAATTTTTAAAGTTGATCCTTATATTTGATTGATTGATTGATTATATGTCATCAAGTTGTTTTCAACTCTCAGGGGCCACATAGATAGATTTTCTCCATAACGATCTATCCCTAACCTGGTCTTTCAAATCTTCCAATGGTGCCCCCATCACCACTGTAACTGAGTCCATCCACCTTGCTCCTGATTGCCCTCTTCTCTTTCCTTCCACCTTTCCCAGCATTAGAGCTTCTCCAGAAAGCTGGGTCTTTGCATTGACTGACAGAGATCAATTATGCGCCATCAAGTCATGTTGACTCTTAATGACTACATAGATAGACCTTCTCCATGCTGATCTGTCCCTAACCTGCTCCTTCAGCTCTTCCAATGATGCACTCATTGCCACTGTAACTAAGCCCATCCACCTTGCTGCTGGCCATCCTCATCTTTCCTTTCCTTCCACCTTTCATGTAATCAGAGCCTTCTTGAGAGAGCTAGGTCTTCTCATAATGTGTCCAAAGTAGGATAATTTGAGCCTGGATCCTTATATTTATATTGTATATATAACCTGTGCATCAAACCCAGGCATGATGGCAACAGCAACAAAGGCCTTGGGTACAAAAAGGAGATGAAAGTAATGTGTGAATAGCAAGCTCTAACCTGGGAGTGTTCTAGGGGCATTTGCCCTGTGCATGAACTCACAAGGCTTAGCTAAGGTCTGTTGCAGTGTGAACCTCTCAACAACCATAACCATCATTATGCATCTCCTTTGTGCATAAGGGTGGATTTGCTTGGAAAGGATTATCCAGAAATAGACTTTTGACACCCATTGAAGTAGGTCAACGTTCTGCCATTTGGTGCTTCCCAATGTGTCAATTTCCACTTCCTGCTGGGTGGGGAATGATCAGGCTATAAACCCAGCTTGTTGTTGTTTAGTCGTTAAGTCGTGTCCGACTCTTCGTGACCCCATGAACCATA